CAAGAATAACATAGTGAACAGTCCATGTACCCTTCACTTGATGCTTATTAATATTGTATCTCATTTGCTTTTGCCTTTTTTTTTTGCACTTTGAAGAAAAATTTGAGCATAGTTGACATACAATGTTACGTTAGTTTCAAGTGTACAGCGTAGTGATTTGACAAGTTTATACATTATGCTGTACTCGCCCCAAGTGTAGCTGCCATCTGTCACCATACATGCCAGTACGGTATCATTGACTATATTCCCTGTGCTGTACCTTATATTTCCGCAACGTATTCATTCCATAACTAGAAGCCTGTATCTCCCGCTGCCCTTCACCCATGTTGCCCATCCCCCTTTGTCCTCTCCTCTGGCAACCATCTTGTTTTTTCATTTATCTGTCTATAAGACGTGTGGACTGATTTTTTTTTTCTTAAAATATAATACTTTATTCCTATTTCATCATTTTCTATCCTAGATTTAGCCAGTGAGAGATACTTCTCTGGCTCCTGTGCCCTTAATCGTGTTTTTGTTTTGCTTTTAATTAAAAAAAATTTTTTTTTAGCATGTCCTTATTTGTTTCATCCTGTACCTACTCTACCCTAGCCCTGGAATCAGCCATTTTACCAAGACTCTTGGTTTCTTTTTTTTTTTTTTTTAATTTTTTTAACGTTTATTTATTTTTGAGAAACAGAGAGAGACAGAGAATGAGCAAGGGAGGAACAGAGAGAGAGGGGGAGACACAGAATCTGAAGCAGGCTCCAGGCTCTGAGCTGTCAGCACAGAGCCCGACGCAGGGCTCGAACCCACGAACCATGAGATCATGGCCTGAGCCGAAGTCAGTTGCTTAACCTACTGAGCCACCCAGGCGCCCCGACTCTTGGTTTCTTTTAATAGACATGTATTAGAAACCCAAGTCTGGGGGCCATGTGTGCTCATAACAACTGGACTGCCTTTGTTTCCATAGTCTTTCAACAGAGCTGGGAAACATATGCATTTACATGCACATACACATACTTACATTCATACATATACATCTTGTAGAAACCACGAATTCACATCAACACCTCTAATTCCAGTCCATCCCCAGAGGGTTCTTTCTAGTCTTCCTTTCTTCCATGTTTCTGTGTCCCTCCTTCCACAGTGAGGACCCTGGCTCCCAGGAACACGGACACGTTTACTCAGTTGTTAAGTCCTGTAATAAATCCGAAATGATTCCAGCATTGTTTTGTCCATAGCACTACAAAACACAAAACTCCTGCAAAGAGTTTAGCATTTACTTGTGGTTCTCCCCTCACTCAATCCTGCCCAAGGCTGAGAGCATACAGTCAAGGGATCCTAAGCTACCCGAGCTAGTTTTGTCTTTCTCTTCTTTATCGTTGTGGTATTTGTTTGAAATGCAACCAGATTCATTTGTCTCAATTCACTTCCACTTTAGGGTTATTTCCCCACCACCCCATCCTTTTTGATTTAATTGAAAAATTGTGATGTGTAGAATATTAATGTGGTTCCAAAAGTGAAAACTATAGAGAAAAGTATACTTAACAGTATCCCTCCTGCTTTGTCCCCTCCCTTCTATTTGTCCCCATTCTGCAGTTCCTGCTTTATCCTTTGGATACACCCTGAGGTAATATGCATGTTCCTTATTTCCCCCTTTTTCATACATAAAGGGTAGAATACCAGGTGCCTTTTTGTTGAAGCCTTTCTTATATCTTTTTTTTCCTTTCGATCGAATGCACCATAAATAGAATTCTGATTTGGAACAAGTAGGCTTCTGTCACATGTTGAGCTGTTAGACTTCTAGGCACTTGTAAAAAGTCCGATGGTTTGGGGGCACCAGGGTGACTTAGACAGTTAAGCGTCCAACTTTGGCTCAGGTCATGATCTCACAGTTCATTTCGTGACTTTGAGCCCCCCGTCAGGCTCTGCACTGACCGCTCAAAGCCTGGAGCCTGCTTTGGATTCTGTCTCTGTCTCTGTCTCTGTCTCTCTCTTTCTCAAAAATAGTAAACATTAAAAAAAAAGTCAGATTGTTTCTACCAATAACTTTGTTAAATCAACTTTTGTAGTAGTGATTATTACTTAGTCCCTTAGTAATGGCTTCTAAAATGATGAATTCTCATGCAAAATGGAAAACTTTTTTTCTTCATCTACTGAGGCTGATACAAAATTCGGTGGACTTGGGTGGGAATTTTCTAGCATGGAAGGATTGTTGAGATGGGAATGGGTTATTTTCAACTGAGCAGAGAGGGGTACAGGATTGATGAGGTACTGGCTGGCCCATTGGGGTCACTCTGAGCCTAGGATTTCATGCGTCGTTCTCTGCTTCTCTGGGATCATGTAGTTTAGAGCCCACTCAGAGATGTTTGCAGTTTTCCTCCCTTTGGTATTTGAGAAAGCTCCTCTGATTGCCTTTTTAACGCCCAGATTCAGCAGCTAAATATTATATCTTTGAACTTCACATTTGCCCAATGCTTTGTGATTTCCACAGTATTGTCTTAATCTCCGTGAAACAGTAGAACAAGTATTGTGTTTATATTGCAGCTGAGAAAACCCAAGCTCCGAAGAGACAAGTGATAGAGCTGGGACTAGAACCCAGGTCTTCAGACTGAGAGCCCAGTGTGGTCTAGGTCCATCACAAAGACCCCTCCTCCCACTCCTCTTCCTTCAGCCTGTCTCAGAGGCCACAGGAGGAGATTTATGCTTGCAAATCTCAGTTCTGTCCAAATCAGCAAATGTTACATGTCCGTTGAGTATTAGACCATTCAGAACTGTCTAAAAGCAGTTCAGAGGGTTTACATCAACAACTTTATTACCTGAACTTGTGTAATAGCGACTATTACTTAAAATAAATGGGCCATAAGCCTGGCAATGGTTTTTATTCTCAGAAATTTTACTCATAGTAGGATTTTATCTATGCATGTGTTTCTGTGTCTCAACAACCAAGAATGTACAACAGCGATAGAGCTTGTTAGAGAGTTATTTTTTTTGTATTTCTAATGCAAAAAAACACTTCATAAAATACGATATTAAAGCAAAATCCTCTTTTATAAAGCCCTTAAATTTTTCTGGTAACTCTTTTGCTATCTTTGTAATCTTTTTCAAGAACTCAGATAGGATATGACTCTAGGAATAAGAATACCCTGTTTGTATTATAACCGTGTAAATTTCACACTTCAAGTTCAGAATCAAAACACAAAGATTTGTGCGTGCTTTTGGCAGACTATACAAATGAGGCCCACCCGGTTGTTCTTTACAATGTATTTAAGAAAAGGAACATGTTGACGTGTAAGCCTCCAGGGCCCCCACTTCATTCTCCAGGGATGGACATTATGGATTGGGTATGACTTCTTCAAAATTCATATTGACTTGGTGAACCTCCCCAAAACTGAGTTATGCATGTCTTGTGTCTCAGGAGGCCTGGGAGGCCTAGAAGCCCCAAATCGTTCTGAGGGTCTGGTTTGCATGAACAGCAAGACGCCGCCTGTGATGGCCCTTCCTACGTGAGACAGGAAGGGATTCTCCCTTGCAGGAAAGGCCCCTGGGTGGAGTGCAGAAAGCATCTGAGTCTTAATCAGCTTTGGCTCACCTTGCAAACCCTCTGAGATCAGCTCCCCTGCGGGATGGGCCCAGCATGTCCCATAGCCCTGCCCTCTCCTCATTTGTTAGAGGGGGAAGGTGGGGATGGATCAGCCGTGACAGAGCCAAGGACAGGTTCTGGGGCATTCGGGAGGTGAGTGACTGGGGAGCAATGAGGGTCATCCTTTTTTACTAGGCAGAGGGTAGCGCCTTGGTAAGGACTCCAGTTTTTAACTTGAAGCATCTGTGTCGCTGAGCGTTCAAGTACCTGTTAGTCCCTTTTATAGCCCAGGGTGGAGGGCAAGAGGGAAGAGAGACAAGAGGGGTTGGCTTTATGAAGGCAGGTCATTTCCCCCTTTGTCGGTTGTCTGGGTTGGGGTGAAGAGGTCCCTGACAGGGAGACGTGGGGGCTTCGGGCTGGCAGGACGGCAGACGGAAGGCGGAGGTAACCTCCATCAGAATCCAGGGCCGTGTGCGCAGAAGCTGTGCTGAATCTCATCCGCTTTTTTAGCAGCTTTTTAATCGTGCTTACGAAATCCGTAATTCGTGTAACTTGGCTCCTGTAAGCATTCGCGGTTGGAAATGCAGATGGTTCCTTGTACATGAAAATTGGGTAATCATCCACCTGACTCCCAGGCTTGCCTGAACACATGTGGGATTCTATGTGTATGTGTGGATGTAGGACTGCAGACGCGAAAGGTGGAGTAAACAACGAGCAGTTGGGAACATTTACATGTCTGCCAAAGCCTTTCCAGGGCAGGTGTTCCCATAAATGGGCAACAAATTGTACTGCCTCTTCATCTCCTGCAGGGAAGACTTTTGGGGAAAGATCATGGCAAGAAGTGAGGGTTATGAACAACAATAGCATTTCACCAGTGCTCTGTTTCCTGCGTGGGAAGGGAGAACCGGGCCATGAGGGTGAGCCCCCTCCTGGCTCTTAGTTTGGACACAAGGGTCAGGAATGCTACCTTTGGCTGAAAATACTGAAGAAATCCTAAACTTGGTGCGTACCCTCTTTGACCACAGCTTAGCCCTCCCGGGTCCCTTCTCTTTGAAGTGTGATGCCAGCTTCCACTGGCATCTGGGGACATTCTGGGGGAGGTGGGGGACCTCTGAGTTCAAGCTAATGGCGGGGGGTGTCAGGAGACCCGCCATGACAGCACACGGTGATTTTGGCCTGGGCTCCTTGGGATTGTTCATTTTCTGAGACAGCGCATGTGTGTTGATGTGGTCTCTGCAGCTCTGACACCCACAGTCTTGCTTAGGAAGACACCGTCCTGTGTCCTGTCCACATGTGTGGCCTCTGTTGCTGTGCTTGTGTGGCTGTTACTCAGTGCTGTGTGTCCTGCCACAAGACTGTTGTGCAGCAGGACAGATGGCTCACGGTGCAGGTCCCTAGGGACGTCCTGACATGTGCTTGTTCTCTCCGCCTCCCTCAGAGAATTCTCAAAGGAAAGAGAGAAGGCTAAAGCCCGGGGAGATTTCCAGAAGCTCCGGGAGAAGCAGCAGCTAGAGGAGGATCTAAAGGGCTACTTGGATTGGATCACCCAAGCAGAGGACATCGATCCTGAGAACGAGGAAGAAGGAGGAGAGGAAAGCAAACGCAACAGTATGTAGCACCTTCCTACTCCTGACCAGAGAGAGCTTGTATGTGACTCACACCCCCGCCAGGCAGAGAGACGTCTCTCCCCCTGGCCCGGCCTGCGGTCACGTACCCTGTCGGCTGCCCATCAGAGAGGACAGTGTGCTTGTACCACCTCTAAGATTCTGCCGGAGGCTCGGGTTTTAGAGTTGTACCTGGTCACATGGTTTTAAGGCAGAGGAGGGTCAGCCACACTCACCCACGGGGAATTCGGGAAGCCCCTTCTGTGTGGGCAGCAGCCGTGGGAAGACACACGTTGACCCTGCAGCACAGGACACAAAGCCACGGCTCCTTCCTTCCCTTCAGAGGGAGCTGTGTTACTGGACAAGAACTTGAAGAGCAGGGTCCCTCTCCAGCCTCGTGTGGCCTGAAGTGGTCCCCACCTGAGCTCTACATGGGGGTGGGGTGGGGTGGGGGGGCGCAGATGCTTAGCCCATCAGGGGCTGGGAAGAAAGCAGCTGACCCATCTGGGCAGCGTTAGGCGGCGTAGGAGTCAGCATAGCCACTTGGAGCCCACTCGCCTGGTCGTCCACCCTGGTACCAGGCACCGTGGGCACTTTCTGCAGCAGGAAGGCCCGACGCCCAGCAAAGCCTGGCGTTAATTGCCATTGTCACCCAAGGTGTGTCTTTCACCACCTGCTTTCCTCACGGATGTGCCCTTACGCTTCCTGGGCCATCTGTGCCTCAGGTAAAAGCAGAGGTTGACATTCAGCAGTGGATTTGACTGAGACGCTTGGACTTTGAAGTCTAGAATAGTTGATGGTAAAGACCAAGAACATGTCTCAAAGGTGTGCGTCCTGAGCGAGCCCCCTTGGGCAGGGGCCCTGAGACGGCGTGCAGTCACGCCTTCACTCAGCAAGGCGGGTGCTGGGTGTGCGGTCATCAGCAGTTTCCTTCTTCTGGGGGAGGGTAGGCCTGTGCTCACCAAGTTGCGGCACCAGGGGACAGAGGTGCGGATGGCGAGGGGTGGCAAGCTGGGTGCGGGGTGCCAAGGGGGACGATGGCTGGCTGCAGGGCTCCAGCACGGAGCTGTGAGGCATTGGCCCTGAGCCTGGAAGGATGGACGGGTCTGAGGTGTGCCAGTGTCAGGAGAGACATCCTGAGCCACGGCAGAGGTATGAGGAGGACACTGAGGTTGTTTGTTCCTTTGGCCGGAGCACAGAGGGTAGGCAGGGGGAGGCTGGGTGAGGGAGGGCTTGTGCTGCCTCTGTGCATATGGAGGCTAAGTGGCCCACGGCTGACTGAGGTGGCCTTCGGCTGCTTCCAGCTGGGGACTCTGGGTCCGTGCTTCCGTGGGGAGTGAGGCCTTCCTGCTGTCACAGTTGCAGATGATTGACTTAGTCCTGTGTGCTCCTGGGGTGCCGGCGGGGTGCAGGCCGCTCCTCTCCCCTCCTTGCTGCTTCCCAGCGTCATTGGTGCTGCTCCCTCGAGGAGAAGGCTAGGGACTCAGCGGCTGAGCATCAGGAGGCTGCCGGAGGATTTCTAGAGCTGACTTTGTGTGCTGACTCTGAGAGGGGAGTTCACAAGGGGACTTTCGTCCCAGTTCCGAACTTGGTGCTGTCCTTTAGGTGACCGGGTGTAAGAAGGGTGTCCGCGTGTCTTCAAGGCATTTGAGCCTGAACTCGTGGTCTCCTCGCAGCCTCTGCGCCTCCCATGTGGCCGGCAGTGAGTCACACCTGCAGCCTGGGGGATGCCTGCCTCGCGTTTCCCCTCTTCCTTTCCAGACTCCATCTTTGGTGCTGACCTGGGAAGGTCTGCCAGCCCTTCCCTCCCTGCCCTGATGTGACATGTCATGTGTGAGCCGACACAAGCGTGCCTTCTCCTGAGTGACAGCCTTCCTCGGCCAGTTTCGCTGTGCCCGATGGGGGGCAGGGGGCCGCGCGAGCTTGCCATCTCTTCGTTGCCCCAGCTTCCTCGCCCCTGTTAGCACTGCTAGCAGCAGCTGTGGTGGGACCGCGCTTGTGGCCCGTGGCTGGAGGAGTGGGTGTTTTCACCGGACTCAAGGCAACGGCTTCTGCTAGTCCTGAGAGACCACTCTGTCTTAGCCCAGTCCTTCCTGTGTCCTGCCAGTGTGTGTAAAGGACCTGGCCACGTGATGACAAAATCAGTTCCTCTGCCTTTGGAAACCTAGCTGAGGAGGGAAGACAGAGGGGGCGGTGCCTCAGCTTGAAACAGAACGGGCAAGCCAGCCATGTGATCAGGGGCCAGCAGTCTTCTGTGGGAGCCCCGTAAGGCACAGTGAAGCAGCCCTGGGAGGAATGCAAGGGAGGCTCCCTAGAAGAGGTGGTGTTCCTGCTGAGCTCAAGGGAGGAACAGCCCGTGGCTTCGAAAAGTGGCAGAGAGGAGGGTACCCGTTAGGCTAGGGAAATTGCACAAACAAGGTACAGACGGTTATAAATGTTCCAAACCCTTAAGTGCATTGCTTAGTAGTATAATCAAGGAAAGAAATAACCCACCTTTAAAAGTGGTAGATCTTCAGAGTTCACTCCATAACCAGGACTCCCAACCCCACAAAGCTGAGCCGTATCTCTGGAATGTCAGCTCTGTGGTTTCTGCCGTGCACAGTGCCGTGTGACTCAGCCTGGGTAACCAGCTTGACCTTGGATACTGAAGAGCACACCCTTCTGTGGGAGTACTCCACCAGGTGCTGGGGTTTCCTGTGGAGTGAGGCTCTGATTTCCCGAGTCACCAGATGCCCCGAGCCTTGACGATTAGGATCTGAAATAAATACAGGGGCGCCTGGGTGACTCAGTCGGGTAAGTGTCTGACTTCGGCTCAGGTCATGATCTCATGAGTTCAAGCCCCGCATCAGGCTCTGTGCTGATAGCTCAGATCCCGGAGCCTGCTTCAGATTCTGTGTCTCCCTCCCTCTCTGCCCTCCCCTGCTTGCGCTCTCGAGCTCTCTCTCTGTCTCTCTGTCTCTCTCAAAGATAAACATACATTAAAGAAAAAAAAGACATAAATCCCAGGCTTTGGGAGCCATGTAGAGATTTAACTGACTTAAGACAAGAGCCCCAAGTCTCCTCCCAGCAAGGAAGTGGGCCTCCCTGAATACATTCCCAGCAGCCCAGAACTTTTGGAGAAGGAAAGCTTCTGAGGTTTCTCAGGGACACCCCGTGGTGGCCATCCATTTTCTTCTTGTCACAGCCAGAAACCACAGGGGAAGGGGGTTTACATGAGGCCTGCATCATCCCCCTCATCAGCCGACGATGGTTGATTTACCACCTGCACACGCCAGGTCTGGTCTCTGTCACCTGTTGGCAGGCAGTGCAGGTGGGCATTGCCAGTGCCAGCGTGCTCCCTGGGTGTGTAAGATCCATGCCCGCATAGTTAGCACCCCAGCCCTGCTCCTGCATTTTCTTTGGGAAAGGGGGTGGGACATTCCCTAGGGATCCTTGCCTTATTCACACTGCCTTGGGACGTGCATGCCACTGACTGCCCTTTTTCAGCTGGGTCCTGGATGGGATCGGGACAGATTCCTTGCAGACATGGGGGGATTAAGTGACAGTGTGACAGGAAACCCTTGCTAAGCCTCACCCTGTACAAGCAAAGGGGGTATCAGAAGCCATTAATAAGAGGTCATGAGACTTTGGAGGCAGAGGCTAGACAGCATGTAGATGCCCCTTCTCTGGAATGGGCTATGACTGAGAATTTGGACTTGAGTGCTAGGCACACTACCCAGTGTCTCCAAGCCCCCATTTTCCTGTCTGCGAGGAAGGGGTAAAGATATTTGCCCATGGAATCCTCTTGCACCATTGGTAGGAATGCAAATTGGTGCAGCTGCTCTGGAAAACAGCGTGGAGGTTCCTCAAAAAATTAAAAATAGATCTATCCTATGACCCAGCAATAGCACTGCTAGGAATTTACCCAAGGGATACAGGAGTGCTGATGCATAGGGGCACTTGTACCCCAGTGTTTATAGCAGCGCTTTCAACAATAGCCAAACTATGGAAAGAGCCTAAATGTCCATCCACTGATGAATGGATAAAGAACCTGTGGTTTATATATACAATGGAATACTACGTGGCAATGAGAAAGATTGAAATCCTGCCATTTGCAGCAATGTGGATAGAACTGGAGGGTACTATGCTGAATGAAATAAGTCAGTCAGAGAAAGACATATCATGTTTTCACTCATATGTGGAACTTGAGAAACCTAACAGAAGACCATGGGGGAAGGTAAGGGGGAAAAATAGTTACAAACAGAGAGGGAAGGAGGCAAACCATAAGAGATTCTTAAATACAGAGAACAAACTGGGGGTTGATGGGGGTTGGGGGAGAGAGGAAAGTGGGTGATGGGCATGGAGGAGGGCACTTGTTGGAATGAGCCCTGGGTGTTGTATGTAAGACAATTGGACAATATATTACATTTAAAAAAAGGTGTTTGCCCATGAGATTGTCATGAGGATTAGATGGCCAGTAACTAGTAAGGGTCACTATTGCCATAAGTGTACTTACTACTACTGTTGTCATCAGACTGCAGTAAAACTTGACCTACACAGAATTATTCTTGCAGATTCTACAGGACCTCTGAACAACCTCAGGCTAAGGACCCCTTTTAGGAACACATCCCTGTACTTTCCTGTTCAGAGACTATACGGTTCTAAAGTATTGGTGGGAGGCAAACCTATTGACTCAGTCACGTTTGAGATACGGAAGCACGGCTTTCTGGTTCAACGTCCATTTGTGGTTGGTTGATGCTTGCTGTTGGAGAGAAGATGTCAAATCAAGTGCTTAGAGCTGCGTACACATTATCTTTTCTCTCTAATCTAAATGTCACTGTCTGCGTCTGTGGTACCCAACTCTGGCTGTACATGACAGTCACCTGGGGAGTGCAGACACATCCTGATGCCATCACTCCACGCCCACGAAGACTAGTTTGTCTGCGGCGGGACCCAGGCATGATTTTATCTGCTGGTCCCTGGAGGTTCCCATGTGAAGCCAGGGTTGGGAGCTCTGGAATGCTA